ACTCATGCAGACTCTATCACAGCGGTGTTTTATTCACTTAACACTTCATTCAGAACCTATAATAATGAGCCTCATGGAATACTATTTTTAATAAACCATTACAATGCCCAAAGAGAGGCTTCTTCTAGGTATGCACAGCGTTGAAACCAGCTTAGTGTGCAGCATGGAAGAGTGTGTACAGATCCACAGAGCAGGGGTGATCAATCATCTGCAACACACACTTTCAAACAGGCTCGGACACCAAGTCCGCTAATCCACAGGAGGCACACACACACACGCACACGCACACACACAGAGCATATATGCTCCCAGTGACACAGAGGGACTTGATATTTGCGTGTGGCAGTGGCTAACCAATAGAGGGTGGTGTTGCATTGCGGGTCTGAGAACAGAGGGTCATCCTGTTGAGTTGGGAGTGAGCATAAAGCTCATCACATCACCACCTATCTTTTTATTCTGCTCTTCATTACTGATGGCTGATACAAAAAAGGAGCTCACCTCTTTAATGGACAATGCTGACATTAAGACTTGGTGGTTGCTGTTAAAGCGGACTTGTCAGCAGCTCACGGGTAGAATCTGAGTCTCTTAAATGAATCTGGAGTCTGAAATAATGTCTCTTTATGTGACTTTTTTCAATCTTAACAATAAAATATTTCAGAAATAGTTCAATACAAAATGTATTGCAATCTTTGACTCAAGGCCAAATTTTTTTTCCAAGTATCTTACTGCCAGGTCCATGTTATAGCCACTGTGGAGCTGTCAACCACATCACATGATCTCCATCAGTCACTAAAGGTTGTTTGTGGGCGGGTCGAATTTAAACTTCTGTAATTCTATGACAATGGCTGCTGATGAAGCTCATGTGATTTGATTTGAAAGCTCAGGAACAGCTACTAAATGGACCTTGTGCTGCTTTTCCAAAAGCCAAAATTGAACTTTGAAACTCAGCTAATATTCTTCTTTATTTGACAAAAAAGTCCTTAACTAAAGTTCCACTCATTAGCTTTCATCCCCAGAGGTTTTGACTGCATTACACGAGCTTTGTCAACATATGGGATATGCTAAATTCTGCTAACAAAGGTAACTCAATTAAAAGGGCATTTATCATCTGTCCCAAGAAAACAATATCCTGGTTGGCCTGGTGCCAGGCCCGGGTGTAAAAAGAATGTTGTTACATTTAAAAACTGACTAAATTTAGCAGTCCGATCATGGCTTCTCTGTACCATGGTGAACTCACTGTGCAGATTTGATTCTCTCCACACCCTGCTTTATCTCCCAGCATGCATCTGAACACATAAACATCAATATTAGCAGTTTATTGGTGAACATTTGTTAAGGAAGTGACCTTAAACCTTTAAAGGACACCGCCACGTCCCTCTAATTAAAACTTAACCACTCAGCCAAGGCAATGAGCGATAGAAGTGGGGAGGAAAAAAGGTTTATTTAGCGCTCACATAAAAACAAACAGCCACACACACATATATATATATGCAAATGAAGGAAGGGTGAAAAGAGGATGCCGAGAGCCATCCGCCATAACTCACAGTGATGGCCTTTAAGTGAGAAATCACCTCAGAAAAATGTCCAATAAGAAAGTGGGAATGATGCACCTGTCTCTCATCTGACTAATGAGCCAATGAGATTGCAAGGACAAAGAGCGCATCCAGGTAGCGGAGCTGGCCTGGAGTGTCACTTCACACAGAGTGCACTTGTGATTCCTCAACAGCGAGGATTTCACAGCTTTATCTGTTAAAAATGGTCCAAAAAGGCAACGTTACATCTTTAAAAAGTAAAGGTGCAATAAATGATGATTTACAACTTGTTATAACATTAGCAGGGCTCAAAGTGATAACACTGTAGCCCTAAAAATATAGTTTAGAGGCATCCCTGATGCATGTGAATTGAATGTGAGTGAAATGCAGTAGTCTTCTTTTTTCCCTCCATCCATCCACCAAAACATCTTTAATCCCATATCTTCAAAAAAAAAAAAACAAAAACAAAAAAAAACACTGGAGCTTAAAAATGACAATGATTTACATTTCAACATAATGCTCTGCGTCGGTTCGTATTGTGACAAAGTGCTGCATGTATCCCTCCAAAATGAAAGTGGGTGTTCTGTTGTGTGTGTGACAAAGACATTTGGACGAACCTGCCATCCTCTCCTTTTTCTTGTAAATGAGCATGGAAAATCTATTTATGTCCTCCTACAGTATACTGGTGAAATAAGGAGAGGGCTTTAGGCTTATTGAGAGACAGCCCGAGCAGCCGAGCCGAGCCCAGTGAAGTCATACACGACGAGAGATCGAAGAAAAAGGACGGAGGAGCGGAGCGGCAGTACTACCCAAGGCGATGCAGGAAAAGTAGCGCGAAGTCCGCACACAAAGCCGGTGGATGCGAGACGGGGAAAGATGATCTGCCGCGCTGACAACACCTGGCCCAGGAACAAACTACGGGCTTGTCTAAATGCGAGGTAGGGAGGGATGTAAAGAAGCCTGAGGCCTACATCGAGCCCCCCCCCCCCCATACCCTTCCCTTCCCCACTTCTTGGAGCCACGAAGTTGAGACGCACACATGCAGATGAAGGGAGGGAATAAAAAACCGAAGATGGGTTATCGGACAGTGATAGCAGCTAAGCCAGCTCAGATGTGGCTAGTAGGGACGAAGGGGTTGTCAGCTGTAGTTTGTAGCCAGTGCTGACTGGCCATTGGTTCAAAGCTCTGCTTTTTATAAACACCTCTAATGAAATTATGAGCTAGGTGGGGTTTCATCACAGAGATGCCATTACTCAACTACCACAACTAAGACATTTCACTTTCACCCACTCTGTATCTGTACACACACACACACACACATGCACACATTTCTCCAAGTCACCAAATTTTACTTTTGCTTTGGAGTCTCCTCCTTTCCCACAGGGACTGGTGAGAGTGGAAATCAGACGCTCCTCGTGGTACCTGGCATTCTGGGTGCTGTTGGGAAGCGGACATGGTGCATGTCAGCAGAGACACTGCTTTCTGCCACCAAACCAGTTATCCATCATCAGCCCGCATCTACAGACTATAGCACACACTTACTGTACAAGCATGCACACACAGTGCCAACCAGGACAACAGATACATCATTTATATCTGATGGTGTGATGGAGTGGGTGGCAGTTATTACTGCTTCCTCTTGTCTAGGGCTTTAATTGTGATTTTATTCAGGAAACACAATGAATTTCTTGAGAAATTTCAAATATCCTCTTTACTGATAACTGAAAATCACTGTTCACCTGAACTACTTCTAATTTTCATCTAGCTAAAGCCATTTTACTACACTAAGGTCACCATAAGGTCACAAATCTCTTCTGTTGAAAACCTAACATCTCCCACTTGAGGGAGGCCTAAATGGATCATAATTCTCCGATATCCATGTCACTTTCATGCTGATTAATATAAATAAACAATTTAGATAGAGTGTGTTTTCATAAAGTACAGAATACACACAGATTATTAGTAAATGATCAGAATGAGTGAATATGAGTGAAAATGTGTGTGTGTGACCCATTAAAATGAGCGCATATATAGGCCACGACGACGCATTAATCTGTCTACAGGTTGGATAAAAATACAGCTGACTATATATATTACACATGTAATAAATCATATAGGGACTTTATAGCTTCATCTTATAAAATGTGGATATAATTAGTCAATCAAAATAACAAAATAATAATTGTTTACGTTTATGAGCTTTTAAATTCATTAATAACCAGCGTGGTACACTGTATAAAGGTGCCTGTACGCGCACATGTAACTTAGTGCTATAAAAAGGTTCGAGTGTTAACAAAGGTTAAGCTAAAACAATATTTAATGATAAGCGAGATTTACGCACGCAAATGAGAAGGAACGGGACATAATGACTCTGTCCAGCCCTTTAATACCTTTTAATGTGAACACAACCGCGTGCAGCGTCCAGCATCCTGTGGACTAGATACGGAAGCCCCTCAGGTCACCCTTTAACACAAATAAATCTAGTTCAAATAGTGATGAGACACCGGTGGAGACTTGAGCGACTCTGACCACTGCCGCTGTGCGTGCCACACGCACGAGTGTGTGCGAGGGTGTAAGTGGTGTGTGTGTGTGTGTGTGTGTGTGTGAAAGCCACCACTAGTCGCCCCCAGTGCTCTTCAGTCTCCACTCTCCCTTCGCACCGCAGACTGAACGTCACGTCCGCACTTGAACTTGAGTTTTCTCCCATTGTAGAAGCCAGAGAACCGCACAGAGCCGCACAGAGCCGCACACAGCCCAGGGATGCGGGACTCTGCACCTAGCACAAAGAGAAAAGAGGGTGGCAGTCTGTCTTCAAACCAGCACTGGGCTTTGACTTGAAGAGTTAAAGTCTAACCCGCCCGCCTGGCTGGCACTGCCAGTGCAGCAGAAGAAGTGCCCACCACTTGGCGACACCCCGAGAAGTGCCGCGAAGAAACCTGGATTCCTATTTTACACACTTTCCGACGGTAATTGGCGCCCTTTCACGTGCTTTCTCCGGACAGGACCCCTCGGTGTCCAAGGTGGCCGGAGAGTGGACACAAGTAGTGACTGGCCACCAGGTCCGCCGACCTCCCGCTTCTTACCGCGTCTCTCCTCCACTCCAGTCTGCTCCTTCTCCGCGCTCCTCTGACAGATGGTGTGAAAGAAGAGGAAGGCAGAGCCGGACTATCCGACTCCCTCACCACCCTCGCGACCGAAGAAGGGAGGCGCACAACCACTTTGGCACCAAACTCCGACCGAGCGCCCGGCCGCTCAGCGCTGCGCCACGGTCACCGCAGAGCGCAGGAGCCGCTGCCCGCTGGAGGGAGGTCCGTCGTGCAGAGGTCAGATCGAGGGCCACATTTGGGGCCAGTACAGAGCGGTCAGTTTGGGGTGGCCAGCGAGCGGCCGGTTTTGTGGGCAGTTTGCGGTCGGTATACAGGAGCAGCAGCAGAAGGAGGAGAGCCGACCCTTCCAGCGCCGCTCTCCGGGCGATGCCAGTGTAAATGCCAGGGCGATGTCCCGACGTAAGCAGGGGAACCCGCAGCACCTGTCCCAGAGAGAAATATCACGTAAGTACATCTCCAAAAATTCATATAATCGCATGCTTGGGATTAGTTTTTCCCCCCTCTGCCTTGTCATGTTGGATGATTGGTGCGTAAAAATGAATATTTTCAGACTTGGAGTACAAAGTTATTCGAAGTGCTTCCGGAAGGCCACTTGTTTCTTTTGCCGATTTTTATTATTGTTTATTTTATTTTATTTCTTATTTTTTTAAATTTAGATAAAGGTCGTAATTTACTTATCTGATTGTTTAAGTGTAGAAATAACGCGCTATGATTCAAAGCACATTTTCACACCGAGCACACAGCCTACAAGTCTTTAGGTGCGTGTTTGACTTTCCTGTGAGAGCAGCTCACGGAGAAGTCGGAGACCGGTCATGATGATGTAGACAGGACTTCTGTGTTATTACATTATTACACACAGTTTTAATGGAATTATTAAATATGGCCATAAGGGAGAAAATACACTTATTTTTCAGTTAACAATAAAAACGCAATTGTACTTCCTTCAGTGTTACTTTTCCACGCACTTTCATAAGCACATATCGATAAACATATTAGAAGAGGAGGTCTGTTACATTCATGTTAGATGAACTCACAAAAAGCAGAAACTTTTGATTTCGATGATCTAATTCTAACAAATTCTCTTCATCTTTATCCCAAAGAAAAGGGCCGATATTTTATTCCGACGCTTAAGAGAACTATTTAAGCCGACACTTTTAGCAGCTGCCGTGAAGAAAAGAGATCATAAATTAATTAAACAAAAGACGATTTTCCCCCTTCCGCACTTTAAAGAAGACGCGGGGTGCCTCTGGTTTAACACGAAGGCTTTATTTATTTATTTATTCTGCAGGTTATTGAATCTTTAATAGACACATTCCTGCCTCATGTCAGCCACTAGTTTAATGAGTTTGTCCCGTTAATGGCGTTTTCTGCTGTAAGCCTCCACTTGTAACACTTGTCCCAGTGTTGTAATATTAACACTGGGTTTGGATTATTTAGTCCAACACACTACACACGGTGAGAGCGAAAAATCCAAGGGTCCCCCTGACGGAACTTTTATGCACAGTAGCCCGCAATAAGCGAGACATCAAAGGACAAAATACGCTAAACTGAAGATGTTATATTTATGTGAAGGATTAGTATCATATGCAGCGTTTACTGCTGGATACAAAAGAATTAGAAAGGAAATGTGTTTTTGCGAAGAAAATAAACTTGTATGGCATAAAACCAAATGTAAAGAGCGAAAATGAATTCACAGAGGAAACGCATCCTTTCCTTCTTTAACTGACGCAAACCCTTGTGCTGTTTGCGCTATTACTTTTGCGGGAAACCTTTCAGCAGTGATTAGATTTTCTGGCCTCAGATCACTTTGCAAGCAGCTGTGGCTGCAGCATGCAGACTGGTGTGTCCTGACAGGAGCAGGACATTTAACTACCTGAGGGACAAAATATGAATAAAGGGCACTTAGTGAAAGAACCTCTGTTATTGATTTGCAGATTTGCATTAGTGAGTCTGAATCACAAAGGATGTGAAGCTGAGGGATTTGTTAAGATGTTACACTGGGTGAATATTACTACTCTCTTTAATCAAGCTTGAGGTCATGTGGGGAGATTTGTTTTGGGTGAACCCTGCCAGAGCGGATCACTTATGCTATGCTTTATTACCATGCATTTAGATGGCTTGGTGCCTATAATATTACACCCATATTTACAGCAGAGATCTCAGCATGCCTGTAGCTGAGCGGCCGTACCTGGGCTTTGGTGCCATGCTGCCTGGCTGCTTATAGGCTCCCTCCTTTGCTGCACAGCCTGGCTTTCTGGTGTTGCACTGCCAACCCACAAAGTCATAAACAGTCACACACCCACCTGAAGACACTGCATGTGTCAGAGATTTCAAATCACCTCCTGACAAGTAAACTTTTGATTGCTTAACACAGCTACAATTTGTGTATGGCCGCTCCCACACAGGCCTGCAGTGTAGACTCGGTTACCTTTAGAAATGGGTCACACTGTGCATGCTGCCTGCTCTGTTGTGACAGCAGCTCGTGCAGCAAAGAACACAGCACTCACACTAACATGCTAACAGGTAGATAGTGACGAGGTGTGGAAAGACCAGAACTAATAAATAAAATTCCTGTTGCCCTCTGACATTGTGTGTGTGAATGTGAGTGTGTGTGTGTGTGTGTGGAGTGTAAAAGGTAGTGTGGCAGCTGTGCACAGAGCAGGCAGACCTGTCTGTCTATATGTCTGTCTGATTTATCACCATTTTGGCTGCAGCACAGAGCTGTGCATTTCATAATTTATGTGGAAAAGATGCTCCCTAATTTAGTATGCTTGACTACACACACACATGTGCACACATGCGCACTTATAAATGCATGTAGGCTTGCATGGACATCAACATGCACCTATATGCAAATGCACACATGTAAAACCCTCTCACCAAATTCTGAATAATTTTTCTTGAGCTGTCAAGCTCATAAAACCTGTGTGATCTGTGCTTTAACAGCACCATTTTTAATGTGCACGTTGCAACATGATGCATCACACACAAAAATTACATTGTGCATGAATTTTATATTTCAGAAGAAGAGCAAGTGTTGCTCCACCTCTTTTGTCTTTCAGTATCTTCTCCTGAGTGCGGAGAAACGTGTTAGGATTTTCTGGAGGTTAAATTGTTGATTTTTTAAATGCAATTTGGCCTCAGTCCTAAAGCAACATTCTTACACTCAGTGCTAAAAATATCAGGGATTTTTCCCTCGCTAAGTTGCAGCCCTTTTTAGCACAATCTCCATTTCATACAGTTGCCTTAAAGCTTAACAATTCTCATCTGCTTTCCTTTGTTTCCACATGTTCTTGTGTGATCAGAACAGATTTTAAAAAATAAGTCCATAAGGGATCACAGTGTTTACCTTCAATCAACTATTCAACACGCTCCATGAATATTTAGTAACAATTTGCATGTTATTGTCGTCTTCTGCAATAAATATGTCTGATGCTGCACCAAATCTAGCACTGTATGCTTTCCAGTTCTCTGAATTCACACTCATTTCTTGCCATGTTAAAATCAAACAATCCCTCCTGAGTGGAAAATTGTCACAAGAATTTGGGTGTAATTCCTCCCTCACAGACACGTGGGAAAGATTAATCAGTGGAAATCTATATTTATTTGTTTGTCAGTCAGATTTGGTGTGTGTTTTGGCGTCACCATGCCACACAGTTTACACCTGAAGGTGCAGACATGCCTTGTGCGTCTCATTCACTGCAAATAACCCCAGCTTTCCTCCCAGAGGCTGATTTAGTGTGAAGAGACGCAAACAGGACGAGAGCTCCCATTGTAACTGCATGCACATACACACACACACACACACACACACATATACACACAGAAAGGGGTGGGGGGTTGCGTGTCAATTGCAGTCGCCCACTTGAGATGCATGTTTCCCTTTGGCTTGTCAAATAGCCGTGCACCCTGCTGGTGCTAAGTCTTTGTTAGAGGGAGAGAGAGAGAGAGAGAACCTAGCAACTCCTTCTTTTGTATGCAGTGAAGCGCTCTGTAGATGAGGTGTTTTTAAAATGCCATAAATGAAAATGCATTTGTGCACTGTGTCTTATTAAGTCACACAGCTGATTGGAGTGAGTATGTAATGATATTCCTAATAGTCAAATCATTCATTATTTAGCTTTTTACAAGGAGGACATGCACTGGTAAAGCTTAAAGGGTCAGTTCACCCCATAACAAAACTGATTTTCTTGCAGTGGACAGTGTTTTTACTGAACTAAAGGGATAGTTCACATAACAACGGCTGTTGAAGTCTGTGTATTATACAGAAAAACACTGCTGTGCTTCTGGAAAGACACTTTACTATCAGACAGTTTAAATGCCACTTTTCAAAGCTGTTAACAACCAAAACTAAATTTTATTCGCTGCCATCAGTAAGCAAGGAAATGTTTCTTTTTGATAATCAAAGTGGATGGTGCTTTTAAATGTTACTTCTATAGCTGTGATTTTGAGAAAAACCTTTTTTTGTTGGAAACGACATATGAATGCAACCTACAAGATGCAACATTTTAGAGTGTGTGCACATGTGCATGTCCTGTGCACCATTGTTGTGAGGACATTTCAGCATTGTGAGGACATTTTCGCCCCTTCAAAGGGCTGTTTGAGGGATAAGACTTTGCTTTAGGGTTTAGGTTAGGGTCGGGGGCTGGCCTTTAGCTGTGATGGTTAAAGTCAGGGTAACAGGTTAGGGCATGCATTATGTCAGTGAGTGTCCTCACAACTGTAGAAAAACAAAAGTGTCTGTGTGTCCATGAATCCACAGGACGAGGGTTTCCAGTTCCCTAAAAGCATGCCTAAACTTATGTTGTTGAGCAGCAGGCTGTACACTAGTGATTCTACTTACACACACACACACACGGACACACAGACACACACAGACATAAGCTGTCATAGTCTGCGTACCAGAGTGTTGGTTTCTGTCTGTCTGTCGTCACCCGTCCTTCATCACCACCTCGATCCTTTAGTCTCATTATTTCTCTGTCTCTCTCTGTTTCTCGCTCTCTCTTTTCTTCTCTCCTTCTCTCTCTCTGTCCTTCTGTCTGTCTCTGTGTCTCTTTCTCTCGTTCGGCTAGGGGGAGCTCTCAGGCTGTCAGTGCAGCAGAATGCAAACACGCAGTTTGTGTGTTTGTGTGTAAGTGTGTGTGTGTGTGTGTGTTAATCAGATGATATCAGTGCTGAAAAACCACATTTACCTCTTAACTGTCAACACCTGCACACTCTGTACTTGACTGTTTGTGCCTTTGCCACACTTTTAATTTAAAGCATGTGCTGTAAATTCATGCCAGTGACTGACTGACATCTATAGCAGCAGTATGTGTGTATACACTCTAATGTGTTGATATAGTGCAGCAGCTAGATTTAAGTTATAGTTATTGTAAATGATTGATTAACTTTTGATTCCTAATCATATGTCATTTTGATTTGAAGATGTAAATTCATTTTCC